GGACACTTCCAGGGATCCAGGGCAAGCCACAGCTTCTCTGGACACCCTCAGGACCTCCCCACCACCCCACAGGGAAGGATTTCTTCTCAATATCCCATCTGAACTTGAACTCTGTCAGTTTGAAGCCATTCCCTCTTGTCCCATCACTTCAAGCCCTTGCAAAGAGTCTTTGTCCATCTCTTTCAGGCTCCCTGCAGGGACTGGAGGACCACAATTGGATCCTTGCAGTGGTGCCAGTCAGCTGAACAAGGAGACAGCCACACACCTGCTGCTTCTGCACATGCAAAAATGTTCCTTTCCCCAGTGACATCCCCAGGGAACACCAGAGGTGGCTCTGCACTGCTTCATCTCAGCGCAGTGAAAGACAACTTTTCACTGGAAACAAGAGGAGGATCTACAAAAGTGTTTATTAAGATTTCACCTTGGGTACTGCAGGGCTGAGAGGAGCAGCAGCAGAAGGGTTTCCTGCTGTGGGGGAAGATGCAATACCATGGACAGGGAGGGACTGGAGCGGTTTCTGCTGCAGTCTCAGGCTGGTGTCCCTTCCCCAGGCAGCTTGTGGAGCACAGCAGAGGATAAAATGAGAAATATCCCCTTTTCTCCTCAAGTTTTTAAGTGAGCATGGGAGAGAGAGGGAAGGAGAGTCTGAGTGGGTCATCTGCAAGGACAAAAGAGGAAGTTTTCCCCTTAATTTTAGACAATTTTTCAGCAAATGGCAGACATGATGTAAGACGGCTGATGCTGCTGAAGCCTTGCTCAACTTGCCCCCCTCCAAATCCTGATGTTAATAACGCTTTGAAAATGCTGATTTCACTGAAGTTCTTTCATTTGCTTCCCTTTTCTTCGGGGAAAATGGAGGCTACAGCAAGAAACAGTCATCAATTCACAGCTGCTCCCACCCTTAGACTCTGGATCAATACAAGAGAATCAGCTCATACAGAAAAATTGCAAAATGTTCTGCTGAGGCAACCCCAGAAAGTTCTGTATCGCTGATAGATGCTGGCTTTTCTTCCAATAAAAGCTGAAAACAACAGCCAGCCCCCAGGCACAGACTGGGGGTGCACAGAGGAGTTGAACCTCACGTGGGGGTGGTGATGGGATGCAGGGAGTGCTGGAGGTGGGGTCACTCCCTGGAGGTGAGTTATTCACGGCTGCTGTCACCCCCCAAACTTCACGTAAGACATGTAATCCTTTTGAGCCAAAAAAAAAAGCACCAAGTAACTTTTGGGTGGGAAAGGGCACATAAATTTATTTCCATGTCCTGTGTTCAACTAGAAGCATGTGGGATGGTAGAGGAAAGGAAAATAAATCGAGTCCCCTAAGCAGTGGAGAGGCTGTCTGGGGGAATGGGGATCTTACATTAGATGTTCTCCTTTTTTTCCACTCCTGCTTTTCCTCTGGATCTGATGGAGGTGGCTTTTTGCCATTCAGAGAAGTTGATCGTGTTCCAAGCTGCAGACAGCAGCAGAGCACAGGGCAGTGCCTGCAGCCTGGCTAAGAGCCACAGGGATTTGGACATCAGGCAGGGATTTGGGCTCTAAGATGTTGCCTGTCAATGGGCAGAATCCTGGGAAGGGCATCCTGGGAAGGCAAGATCCACTAGGGAATACTGGGAATGGGATAAACTCACTTTGGATACTGTTGGATGCATGGGATCTCGTGCTTCCTCCTGCTCTGCAAGTCCTAAATTAATAAAAAGCAGTCTGCACTGATCAGCATCATCTTAGTGGGTCACTGCATTTCCACCCATCCAGGCAGAGAAATGGGATTTATTCCTGTCCGGGATCTGCTGACAAACATGTTCCTGCCCTTCCCCTGCAGTTCCAGCCCTCCCTGCCTGAGGAGCAGCAAACACAACCTGCTGCTCACAGCTTGGCAGTGCTCAGCCTTTAGATATTCAGTGCAGAGCCCCAGCTCCAGGTGTGTCAGCTCCAGTGCTCAGCATTAATCGAACCCTGGGCTCTGAGCAGAGGCTCAGAGCTGCATGCAGGGGCAGGGATGATCTCCCCTCGCTGGGGATGTTTGGATTCCTCATCTCCTGTCACTTCACTGAGCCCAGTGAAGGCAGAGCACTCCCAGCCTGCAGCAGGGCTGGAAATTGCAGGAGCTGCTCTCAGCAGTGCTGGTGAAGAGAGCCCAGAAAAGCACTCTCTGTGGGAGCTGCACTCCAGCTGGAACCAAGGGCTTCCCCTCATGAGCATCAAAGAAGGCAGAGAAAAGCAATCTAAGAGCATCAGAAGCTGGGCACAAATAAAACACTACTGCAGAGCCTTGTGGGACTCCATCCATCTGGGTCCTTGTAATCAATTTAATGAAGTAATTCCCATTTCACATACACTGAGAACAGCAGGTGTGCAAAACAGGAGTGGTCAGTGTAGCAGGAGGGGGCAAATGGACCAAGGTCAGCTCTGAACCTGGCTGCTGCTGCCAGGGGACAGCCAGGGACACCTTGGGCACAGCCCCACCGCATTTTTAATCCCTCCTGTCAGTTACTGTGCAATCACAGAGTTACTTGAACAGGAAGGAAGAGGCTGGAACACCCAACCTACATTCAGCACTGCAATGAGGTGTTTCAGTAAATCAAAAGTGTTGCAAAGGCGAAGAAACTTCATTTCCTCCTGGAAATAAATCCTGGGACGTGCTCTTTTTTCCACTTCTGCTCTTCCCACCACTTCAGCCCCCAGCACATCAGTGTGGTGAGGTGATCATAAACCAGGACAGCCCAACACCACTAACCCATGCCTAAGAATAAATTATTATTTATATGTCATTAATTATTCCATAGAATTATCATAGAATCATGGAATGGTTTGAGTCAGAAGGGACCTTAAAAGCTCACCCAGTTCCAAACCCCTGCCATGGGCAGGGACACCTCCACTAGACCAGTTTGCTCAAGGCTTGAGTCCCCAAAAGCTTCACCAGAAGCCCAGGTGAAAGCGATGCAATTACACTTGTGATACTTGGATTATAAAACACAACAAACATGACTTGTTAAGCTGAGCTCTAGATGGGTTTGGTTTTACTCCTCAGGTGGCAACTTAGGAAATAGGATACAAAAAAGGAAAAAAAAAAGGCTTCAAAAAACCTCTGGATTTCAAGGTCAGAGGAACATCATGATGCTCAGCTGGTGTGACTTTGCCAGAGGGAAAAAGGGATAGGCAGGACCTGGAATCCAAAGCACACGGAGCTGAGCTCAGTTCCAGGGCATCTGGCAGGTTTTGAACTCATTCCAGTGCTCAGAGGTGGCTCTGAGAGCATCCAGGCTACGACTCACCCACCACAACATGCAGAGAATTCCTGCAGTGCCTGTGTTCCTGTGAGCAGGCCCAGCACTAATGCTGAGCTCCAGCTCTATAAACAAGGATGACCTGGGCCAAGTATTTCCGGGGATTTAGTGTCCATGGCATGCCAGCCAAATCCAAGGGCTCTTGTGGAAAAAGAAGCATTTCAGGCCTACAAAAACTGATGAGAAATCAATGTTTTGCTGCAAAATTCTGCTTCATACTGCAGCCAGTGAGCCTCTTCTCCAGGAGGCAGAGGCTGGCTTAGTCAAAAAGGGCTAAAAAAAAATAATAAAATCAACTCTGCTGTATCAAGATCCATAATTCATGGAGGTTTGTCGCAGAACACACCCGAGTGCCATCAATATTTTAAATATTAAGCACAAAAACTGGCTGTCAAATGCAAGTCAGCAATTTCGCGGTGCCTCCCTGCCGGGGACAAAGTCATCAGGCTGAGCAGGACCTGGAGGAGCAGAGTTTCTTTGACTCTGTTACATATTTTATTTGAAACACAAGATGTGTTTGCAGGAGCAAACCAGCTGGGCTTTGCCAACCAACAAAAAAAAAAGAGTCTGCTGGCTCGTTATTAAACAGAAAAAATGATTTCATCACACCAACATGAGGCTGTATATGTTTATTCATCGTCAGTAATTTTTGTACACAAGGCAAATATTAATAGCTGAAAGGCAACACTTTTGGAAGAGTATGTACAGAGCAATGTACAAGCGAGTGTAAGAGGTTTGAAACTATGAATTGATTTAACCGTTTTATAAAAAAGAAGTGATGTTTTTTCTTCTAAGACCTCCCTTAGAAATAATTTATTGCCAATCTTAAACTAAAGCAAGGAGAGAAAAAAAAAATTTACAATAAAAAGTAGTCCCTGGAAAGTTTATAAAAAGTTAAACATATAAAATTGTAAGCCACAAACATTTATACAAAGCTAATACAAATCTTGGTTTTGTTAAAGATCTATGAGGTTGTTATAAAATATATTTTTACATAAAGGCTTCACATAAGGTAAGCTCTCACTGCTACTGTAAGCGCAGGAAAGCAGTTTTAAATAGTCTGCAATTCAACTTATTTTCAAGTACAACGCAAAGAAATTGCAAAATGGCACTGTATTGCAATGCTGTGTAATTAAAAACTACGTTAATGGTACCATCAGAGAGACAAGACCTGTAAAGTGAACTGGTGAACGATTTGCACGGCAGGAGACTTCCCGAGGGTGTGGAACAGGAGTGGAAAATGAACCTTCTGCAAGAGGAACTGCAAGAGGAACTGCAGGGGGTGTTCTGCTGGCCACAGCTCAGCCTGGGATCCACCAGGAACATCCCCCAGGTCAGGAACACCCACCCACCCCACCCCTCTGCTGGATAATGCTGAATTTCAAGCTACTCACACACGAGCCCCATAAACAGCCTTTGAGATCAACTTGACTCTTTTTTTTAAGAACAGTTATTCTAGAAGAAAGCTGAAGTTTCACACAAACTGATGGCTTATGCTCCCACGTACAATATATAGAAAAAAACCCCAGTCATATTTTTAAAGCCCTGATGAACAACCACAGTTTTTAGGTATCAATTGCCTCAGCTGAACACTCTGCAGCACTAAAAGAACAATTTCACCTTCAAGCTTGTACAGGACAGTGGTTTATCTCCATATGGTCAGTGATCTTTAGAACACAGCTCACTCCAGCAAAGAGAACTAAGGAACTTTAGGAAACTTGATTTTCTGGGACACTTCACTTTCTATCTGCTTTCCCACCCTCACTAGGAATACATCCCAACCTTGTACCACAGACTGGTCTCCATGAGGAAGCTTCACTCTCACCAGCAAACTGTAATTCTGGTTGTTTCAGGACAAACTCAGCCTGTTCAGAGCATGAACCCTTCAGCTCTTGTACCAGATTTATGTCCTGCTACAAATAAATGGTATTTAGGAACAAATCTAACAGGTAACACAATAGCCCAAGGTTGCTCTGTTCAGGGAGCTCATGAAGAGTGAGCCTGAAGATGGACAAGGGTGTTGGTTTGGGGTTTTTGGCTGTAGGGTAACACAGGAACCATGTAAACAGGAACATCCAGGTGCATTGCCTCACCCCTCTCACCAACTGGGAGTGGGAAACACGAGTGATTTGACTCAGTTATTTCATTAGAACAATTCATTTCTGCCTGAGATTCATATAGTGCTTTATCTACCAGGCCTATGAGGGACCCAGCATGGGGGTCCCCCTCGCTCTGTTCCAGGCCCTGGGGTTCACAGGAGAGTGATCTCAAAGGATTCAAAACAGGGATTTTTGTGGTGGTTCTGGGGAGAAGCTGCTGAGGATTTCCCCACTTTAGCTAAGGGGACAAGTGCCCAGTGATCCTGGCTACATCCTTAGACTGACATCAGTTTTGAGAATCTTCAGTACATTAACAGGTTCAATTGACAAAAAATTCATCAACACTTCACATAAATTAGTTTAGACAAATCCCTGGTACTCACCCTATCATCCACTACCTTCAGTCTTTTCTGCAATCATCTGGTCTGACACCCTCCAAAGCACCTTCTGCAGACTTCCCCAAATCAACTGTTTTAATCAGAGGTAAGTCTCTGTTTTGAAAAGACACTTGTTCAGACAACTGTCAGCAAAGGAAAAACCAACCCAACTCTTCCTCCTGTTGACAACCAAGGGCATGGATTTGTTTTCTGCTTTCCAAGACTGGACTTGGAGGCCACCAGAGGTTTGTGTCTGCTCATGACGCATTTATAGCCCAAAGGAGAACTTCTGCTCCCATCACAGGTGTGTTGCTCAGTCCTTGAAAGAGGTCTCTGCTTCACTGTCCTTCTTGAATTGCTCACATATAACCTGAACACACCAAATCAGAAATAATCCCTGTCCAGTAGAGGCAAAGTCTATATTAAATATCCCCATCCAAGATTCTATTAACCCTCCTGACATCAGTGCTGCATCCAGACGTGAGGATTGTGTTTAGACTCTGCACTGTGACTTCTCCCAAGCTCTTTTTAGAATTCTCTCCTCCCTAAACAGTGTCTGACGGCCAGAATCACAGACTACCCTATGACTATTTGCTGGATGATATAAAAAAATAGAGGTCTTTCAAAGCACCTAACTAAATAAAAATACACTATTCCCCTTCTACTGCCAGGAGAACGAGGTACAGAGATGTTAATACAACTTACAATCACAGTAAGCAAAGACTAAGTTCAGGAGACAGGCAGATTTCCTATGTCCTGGCAGGGCCACTGCTCCCAGCAGTGACACCACCATGTCACCCCCAGCTCGTGGGATGAGAATAAAAATGTATTCAAGGATTGGCCACCAGCATGATCCACAGGAACTGGCCAATTCCATGGGGGAAAGTGGCAGCTGAGCTGCCCACACCACACTACAGCCTGGGGGAAACGTGGCAAGGACACTGGTTTTTGTATCACAATCTCACTCTCTTTTTGCAGTGTGCTGTGGGGTACATCAGGATTGCTTCACTTTCACTATTTTTCATTATTATTATTGTAATTTCTTTTTTTAATCACATGGCAATGTTCCCCTTAAGAAAATTAAACAAAACTGCAAAAGGACTTTGGGTAAAATAGTCACAAGCAGCATTCTGGAAGATGCTGTGCAACCTATTTGGCTCAAGTACACTTAGGATTGCTTAGACCCAACTGGAAAGTCTCAGAAAGAACCTCATCAGCCGAAGCACATTCTGCTGGAACACTGTCTTTAATTTTTCTTCAGAAGAAAACATTCATCTGCACGGTGTCAGCTACACAAGGCCTCTGCTGGGAATTCATAAGGCCACTGAAAATGCCAGAGGAGAACAGAACAAAGGAGGCACTTAGGTTTGCAAGTCCTTCTCTCCATCACCAAACGCTCCTGACTCAGAGGAGGCACCTGGGAAGGAGGCAGGGAGCTCAAATAAACCAGTGCTAAGTTAAAGCGCTTCCAGAACAGGTGAGCCACAGGTAACATCTGCTACTTCCAGTAAACATCTAGTCAGTGAAGATAAAAAACACCAGCTGGGCTTGCTCCCCCCATCCCACACCAGAATGCCGAGAGGATTGATCAGAGTGCTCTGTGCCATGGCTCCAGGACGTGCGGACGCCTCCGGAGTGAATCCGTGTACTGTGCCAACCACTCATCCCTCGTCACTGGACTCAGCACTTCCTGACAGATATGTCTGAAACTCCTGATTTTATGTATTTTTAAAGCATCTCCTATTCCAACCCAACGCCATGATTTATACTTAAACAGGAAGTACGTTACAGCCAGGAACCCACGCTTCAAAGAGATGATTCCAGCAAGGGATTTGATGGGATTTCTAACCAAAAATAGACCTGAGAAATCATAAGTCAGCTATGGTATCACAGTCTTTACAATGAAGTTAGATGTGAAAAGTTTCTCTCCCCCCCCACTTTAAACTACTGCCACAGTATAATAATTGCAACAATTTCATTGAAGTTTCAACTTGGAATTCTGGATTTTCTAGGATAATACATATGTTTGTAAAAGGTCAAATTTACCACTTTACAGGTAACTTAGACATAGGTCTGCTATAAAATTACAACTTGAGTCAACTTGAAGCTACACTGGAAGAGATTAAGCCTGAATTTCTGCAGAAATTGGCAATAATGTGTTCAGCAGCAGCTTTTAGCCACATATCAAGAAGTCTGACAGGATCTGGATTTCTCTACTCCTGCTGTAAACTTCTAGTTAAACAACACACAAGAGTTACTGAAATAAACCGGTCTTTTTTTGCACATCACTGTAACATCAGCTGCTTGAGGTTGTCGTGCAGGATGGTATCCTTAACATCACGGAAAACTAGCCGGATGTTCTCTGTGTTAATAGCAGTGGTGAAGTGGTGGTACAGGGGCTTCTGCTGCTGGTCCCGGCGTTTCGTGCGAAAACAATCCACCAGGAATTTTTGGACATCTGTTAGGCAGTGGGGATCCCCTTCAAACTCTGGGAAATAGTCTTTGATGCTGACTTTCTGTACTTTTTCCTCAAGCAAGTCCGTCTTGTTCAAGAAGAGGATGATGGACACGTTGCTGAACACACGGTTGTTGACTATCGTTTCAAAAATGTTCAGGGACTCCGTCAGGCGATTTGTCTGCCGGTCCTCCATCAGCACTTGGTCGAATTCGCTGGAGGACACGAGGAACAATATGGATGTGACACTGTCAAAGCACTCGAACCACCGCTTCCGTTCTGACCTCTGGCCACCCACATCGACCATCTTGAAAGGGACATTCTTGATTTCAAAGTCGTACTCGTGAATCCCTTTGGTGGGCCTTCGTGCCAGCAGGATGTCTTGCTGTGAGGGAAGGTAATCCTACAAAAAAAGGGAGAGTTTTCTGATTAGGATGTGATCATAGGTATGGGCCCAGCTGAGCTGCAGTGGAGAGAGCAGCTTGCAAGGTTCTCAATAAAATACAGGGATGTGGATTTCCACGCTGACATTTGGAGATTCTGGGAAAGAGCTGGAGCCCAAAGCAGGAACCACACCCAACATTAAATCAGAAAATGTACCCCAGAGAACTTAAGCTTCCCCTCTGCCATGTGATGAGGATCCATAACCAACAATTCCTCATGCCAGTTTCCCTCATTCTGGATCACTTCATGCTTCCTCCATTCTCTTCCCACAACACCAACACTACAGCAGCAATGGGTTCTAGAGCAGCTTTCTCAAACCAAGAACTACAGGATATCCCATGCCAGCTGTGGGCTCTCCATTCCTCCCATGCTCTCCTGCAAAGTGCATGACTGCTTCCAGAAACAAACCAGCTGCTCCACTAAATAACTTTAAAGCAATCAATTATGCCTGAAAACTAAAATCTAAGTAACTTCCTGTGTTTGTGCCATGCACCTTTGCATCCTGCTGTATCACTGCCCACTGGTGAGCTCATGCTGCCTGACTTTGCCCAAAATTTACTGTGCAATGAGTAGAAGAGGGGAAGAAACTGAGAGCTGGGGACAGCAGGGCCTTTGCAGTCTGGGGACACAGACAGCTGTATCCTGAAGCTCTCCAGTGCACCTCTCCCCAGAATTTAAGAGGCATTCAAGAGACTATTTTTTTATTATTATTATTGTCACACAAACATCTTTAATGGATGCAGATGCCACAGGAAGAGAAATTCTTATTAGTCAGCTTTTGACAGCATGTAATTCAACACTCAGATTGGGGATTTCTCCTTTCCTAGAATTACACTTTGTCTATGGTCCAAGTCATTCTGTTATCTCCAAAGTGCATCAATACCACACAGCTGCCTGTGCTGGACTTCAAAACCTTGTTGTTCACTTGTTATGGAAATTCTTCCTCACATTTTTCCATTTCAGAAAACACAATTTAAGTTTTGGAATTTCAGTCTCTTCTTAAAAAGTGAATGATCTATGATCTTCCTTTGACAGTTCCAGTTCCCACACTTGGAGCTTTTATAAAGATGTGTAAGACCATGGTGCAAAAAATCTGATTCAGCCAGTCAGCTGGGTGGGGGAACAGGCACACAGCACCATGGCTATTTCAGCACTTGTATCCCAAGTTTAAGGCAGCTGGGCAAGTTCAAACCACAAAAATAAAATTTAAAAATCATAAAGTGAGTGCAACATTCCAAAAACTCAAGGATCATTCTGCTTTACCCAGTAAGTTCTGAAGTGAAACTAGAGAGAGAGGGCTTTGTCTGAACTCTGGGTTCCTTAGAGGTGCTGCCATCCCCTTGCCTGATTAATGAACAACTTTAGGGTGATAAGACATTTCCTTTTGTTAAATATATCTTGGGTCTTTTCTACTGAAAATATAGAGAGGAAAACAACCAGCACAAACAGTGCAGGGCCTGTATGAAATGTCACTGGGCACATGTGAAGGGATTTTGAGCAAAGCTGACTGTCAACATGTAGGCAAGAGTGTCACAGGTTCAATACTCATTCCAGCTTCCAAATGGAAATGTATATTCTTTTGTTTTTCAGGAAGTCAGTCTCAGAACAAAACCAAAAAGTCTTAGGAAAGCTCAGGAGTGACTGAAATTATTAAATTACATAAATAAATAAAACCAACTAATGTAATAGGCAAAGCCACAGGCACCTTCAATATTGAAACACACCTTCAATATTGAAACAAGGGCACAAAGCAAACTCTCCTGGGAGTTGGCCTGCAATGTTTATTCAGTAAAGCTTTCAAGAACAAGGAGCTTATCCCCAGAATTCCTGACAAATTCCCTCTCCAGTACTATTACTCATTGAAAATTCCTTCCAGACTTACAGCCACAAAGAGAATCCTTTCAAGTGCTTTCCACTTCTACGTGCACAGAAGTCCTACCATGGAACTGGGTGTCTTCAGGGTTCCTTCCAACCCAAACCATTCCATGTTTTGTCCTGGATATTGGCTACTCTGATCCAAAAGGCAGCAAATGAGGGCTCTGTTAGTTCAGTGCTGGTATCCAGCCATCATCTGGCTACAGGAGACCAAACAACTCCCAGGAACTCTCCCAGCAGTTTTGTTATCTTTCTGAAGGACAATTATGTTTTCTCCCTCATGCCCACATCCTTGGAATACAAGCAGCTTGCTCCTTTCTCAGTGCTGATCCCACTGTCCACGTCTGAAGACTGCAGCATCAGGTGAGTATTTTTCTTGGCTGGCACTGATTTTCCAAGTTCTTCCTATATTTGCCATTGTCTGTAATTGGATTTTTCCCCATAAGTATCCTCACATTGATACTGATTTGAAACATGTGCTTTCTTCCTGATTTTCCTATCTCCTTTCCTCAAATTCACTGCAGTCTGCTTCTTCTGAAGGAGTTCCTTTGGTTATCAGTAGCTCTTTAGGCTATCACATCACTGTTTGCCTAGTTCAAATTACAACTTAAGGCATGACTAAGATCCAATCACAAGATGGAAAGCCAAGTCTCTCTGTGAGGTATTTTGGATACAGACAGTCTGCACTGGCAGTTGAAATAGCAACACACAGTTGCAAGGAATCCAGGAGATCCCACGCATGTCTGCCCGTCAGATACTCTGATTTTGCTGATCTGATTAAATCTGAACACTAAGTTCTTTGCCCTCCATGCTGTTATCAGCTCCCTTTTGGCAAGAGGCATGTGAATTGCAGATCTATGTGTTTATAAGCAATTTAGTTGCAAGTCAGCCCAGTTGCATCAGATAAGAATAAATACTTTTATTTACAATTTGGGGAAACAATCATCAGACAATCTTGCATGTAGATAAGAATAAATCAGAAGAACCTATCAAATCTTTTACTAATAAAACTTAGCTAGTGTTTTTTTCCCTCAAATATTTAACATTTCTTACAACAGCAGATCCTGATGAGTCCCTCTGATTCTCAACACCATTTGGTCCAACTTGAAGCCAGAAAAGCTGTAATCACAGCACTCCCACAGCAACATCAGACCTGCAGTAAGTGTGTGTATGTATAAAAATATTAAAAAACCCAGCTACTGACTAAGTTTCACACTTTAATCAAAATGGACCAGAGTCTCTCTGTGAAGAACTTTGAAATGGAGCTGCAAAACTCTATCCAGTATTGTTGGGGAAAATCCAAGCTCCTTGAAACTCAAAGGCTCTGGATTCAAAGACTATGAGAAATCCACCACAGAGAGTTCAGCAGTTCATTAGAGTAAGTGCAGTTCTCCTCCTAAGCGCAAGTCTTATAACTTGAGACCAAATTCAAATTCAGAGACCAAGTGCTGGAGTTCTCAAGCCAGAGATTTGGGAAGCACAATGGCCACCGGTGTTTTAGCTAGAACAATGACAGCTCAAAGCAGAAAAATAGTCTGGCTTAAAATTTAATCTGTTAAAAAGAAAATTGAAATTAAGCATGATGTAACAGGGTTTCACTGAAGTGGTTTGGATACCTTCACTGGTTACCATCAGCTGGGAATGACCATGGAGAAACTGCCTTCCCAAAGAGTTCAAGCACCATATTAAACTCCTGCTTTAAAGGCAGTTTTTCCACATGTCATTTCTACAATCCACAACTGATTAGCATCAGCAAATACCTTCATCATTCAAGTGCTAATTAACAGTTCTATAAAAAAAGTATTGTACAGAAATTTCAGGGTTTTCTCCTGAGAAAACAGACTTTATTCTTTACTGAGTTTATGTTAAAGTAGGTATGACTGGAAGGTACCACTGACCTGTACGTGATTTAACTCAGAGTTCCTAACTGGACATGTAACCTCAAAACCAGTCAGTTTTGGATGTCATCCTGTGTTGAAAAGCTACTTTAACAGTCTCCTGTCTGGACAAGCATTTGTAACTTGTTTTTTTTTTTGTTCAATTTTGACAGAAGGTTTATTTCCAGAAAGTCTCCTGGCCCTTGCATTGCCCTGTGTTTCTGACATGTCAGTGATGAACTGCTGAGATAATGAGACAGTGCAAGTTAACTAAAGATAAAGTTATTGGAGTAGACACTAATTACATTTCATCTACTTAAAACCCAGAGATCACAAAGACTACTTAAAACTCAAGACTGAAAAGAAAAAAGGACTTACTTGTTCTCCAAGTTTATCCAAGTTGTCCAAGAAATACTTTACAGATTCCCCCTAAAAACAAATCAAACAGTTATTTAAGTAAGCCAAGTCCTTGATCCCAATAGTTTACATTCTGAAGTCCAGATAATTTATCGAAACCTACATTTAAATGCTGTAAGCTTTAATCACTGCCATTTTTAAAAGCAGCTATCCCAAGAACACAACTGATGACTTATTCTTAGGCCAGTTAATATTTAAGCTTAAAAGCATAAAAGGCACATTTGTAATAGTCACATTCTTTCCAAGTTTAGACTTGATAAATAAATCCAAGTGTTATCCACAGGGAGCATCAATGAAGCAGCCACACCTTCATTATGAAAAGAAACATTCAATTCCTGTGAGGCTTTGCAGAGCGTGCTCACACAGCCATTCAGGTACAGGGATTAATCACCAGAGAAAGTTCATTTATACTGCAGTGCCATAGGACTCATTCCCACAGGTGCTTCCCCAGAGCACAGTGAGTGATGAGCAGTACAAAGCATCAGAAACCACAACAGACAAAGCATTTTACTCAAGTTTCCCATCAGACACCAAGTTGGACCAGAACACCGTACTCTGAGTGATGAGCAGAGCTCCAGGCTGCTGTGCATGATATCACATTTACTATCCAGGTTTATCTTCTGGATTTAAGTCATCCCTATCCTGGCAAAGGGTAACTGCAGTTTTTAATCCCTCCAGTAATGTGGAACTGAAGATTTTTTCATGGTAAACCTGAACCACAGTCAACCCTGCAGAACTCCATCAGAGGGCTGGGATTAAGGAGGAATTCTTCCATGGATATTGTTGCACCTGAGTTCAATAGGAATGTACTGATGGAATTCACTGCAGAGGAAAACACCTTTGTAAGGTTCTCAGCATCCTCACAGAGGCACAAATCTGCTTCCTTTTGGAAACTCTTAATTACCAGCTGTAACTTATTCATTTTATAGTAAGTGCAGAAAAGAAGCCACCTGTCCTTTCACCTTGCAGGTGGAAGAGCAGGAATTGTGACTGAGCTTTCTTGAGAAAATCAAGCAGCATCCGAGGCCAGGGTGACTACACCTAATCCAGATAAGTGAATTAGGACAGGAGCTACACCCTGATAATGACTTCCCCTGCTTCAGTGTGAACTCTGCAAACTTATCTAGGCAGAATATAAACCTCACTATTCAACTGTGTCATCTAAGCATCTGCCCTGAGCAGAGTAGGGTAAATAACAGGCCAAAAAGGCTTCTGACAGACACTTCAGCAAAGTACCTTGCAAGTTTTCCTAAAATAAGTTACATAATACGAGTTAGATACCACACCTTTAAGTGTGCAATTTGAACATTTAATGAGGCAAGACTGGGGCTCTGGTTGGAACATGCCTCATGCTTGACACACCTCCAGCACCTTATTTTACCTCTCAGCTGTCCTGATTTTCTCTGGGGTGACAAACTGCAGCAGGAACACCATTTTAGTAGCACACAGCAGCAGCTGCTTGCAATGGTAGCAGTACTGTATCTTTTCCAGCATCCGTTCTAGCCTCAGTCCTCTAAGGAAGGTGTACAGGGAAGAGCATTCCTATTTCACAGAAAAGAAACAATCCTGATCCATGCATCCATCAAGCTTCCCAAGGAGTAACAGGATCAGAATTCTGGCCTTCCAAGTGCTAAAACCACTGTCTGTAGCCAAATACTAAGGCAAAATATAATTTAAGGTCAGATTTAATTTCTTTTTTAGGTGCCAATAGGAGCTGGCAACCTTCCCTTCCCCACAGGGCTGGCTACATACCAATCAGGCAGATTTCAGACTTAGTAAGTGCAGGTATTTATTCTGGAATACCTGGGCCTCAGAGGCTGAATTTGTGTGTGTGTGCATACAAACAAGCATTTTAATCTTAGACAGCATTTTTATATGACTTACAGCAATACCTACTCCCTAAAGAAGCATTAACTCTGCAGTTAATGTGGAAGTTACTACCTCTCCTTTAAGTTCCAGGGCTTGCTACTGCAATGGATTGAGCAGTTGGAGCAGACAAGCAAACCACAGCCTGGAAAGGTCACAAAACATCCCCACAAGCAGCTTTCCAAGAGAGGGGATTTCCTGAAATCACAAATGCAAAATGCACAGGCCTGCAGTGACAGCAACGCTCCAGAGCCACACATCCAACAGCAAAGTCACTGCCAGGGAACTCTGAGACACCAACTCCACTTCTGGGCTGTCACCTCTCAGAGTCCATGGCAGACAAACATCAAGGTGGCCGTGCTGAAACTCAGGAGATGGAACTATAAAATCCATCAGTTGCAACAGCACACAGCTCATTATGGAGAGACATTCCAGCTTCCCTCCTCCACACCGTGGGCTCAGCTGCTTGGGCTCTCCCCTCATAAAAATCTGTTCAGACAGAAAGTGCTCTGGACATGACTCAACCCTGTAACCAAGGATAAAAGCTGTTCATTCACTGTTTTTTACCAATCTGCACATCAGTTAAAAACTTAGAACAGCTTCAAACCCATTATCTCTTCTTCCATCCCGCTCCAGACCCCCATCCATATCACAGAGCCACCACCCAGGGCCCTGAGCACTGGTGATTTTCTGTCTGCCCTGGACATGCTGCTATCAGCAGGCTGAGCTCTGCTAACTACAGACACTTGAACAGCAAACTACCTCTGAACAGATCACTATCAAAGTGCACTACTGGAGAACCAGAGAGTTTTGACCCATTTAAACAAGCTTCAAAGAGGCAGCATTACAAAGCAGCCAAGCTTCAATCTCTTCCCAAAGAGAGAAGTTTTTTATTTTATCCAGTAATGAAGAGAAACACACTGAAAAACTCAGCACACAACAACTGAGGAAAGCCTTAATGCCACCACTTTTTAAAAATCAGTTTAAAAAGGATCCATTCATATCTCTGTACAACAACAGCCTCAAAGACAGCTTCTGTGCAAGGCTGCTTTTTCTTAGATAGAGAACCAGATCCCACTCAGTAAATCCATGACAGTGACCATATATAAATAGCTGTATTCAACAGCTGTCAACTAAAATTTCCCTTCTGACAAACTGTAAACTCTCTGGTTTACCCAAAATGACTAGAAAAAAGCAACTGGGTTTCCCCACTCTGTCCCACTAACGCCAGTGTGGCTCACCATGTCCAGCCCTGCCACGTGGCTGCTCAGCAATCAATCTGTGGTGTCATGCCACAAAGGAGCCACACCAAGAGCAAAATCTAGACAAAAATGAAAAACTGAAGGATCTACCCCCATTAAAACCCCCACAGATCTCCATTACACTCCTGCTGACTTCACACCCACGTTCTGTGAGTACATAGGACGGAAATTTAAAGATTAGCTAAAAAATACAGCGATGTCCCCGGCACAGGAAGGACCTTGACCTGTTGGAGGGAGTCCAGAGGAGGCCAAGTTGATTACAGAGATGGAGCACCTCTCCTACAAGGAAAGGCTGAGACAACTGGCAATGTTCAGCCCGGAAAAGGGAAGATTTTGGGGACACCTAATTGTGGCCTTCAGCACCTGAAGGGAGCACACAGCAAAGATGGAAAAGCTATTTACAAGGGTCTGGTGTGAGAAGACAAGGGGGAATGGCTTCACACTGATGGAAAGTAGGTTTAGATTGGTTATTAGGAAGAAATTCTTTACATTGAGGATTTTGTGGCACTGGCAAAAGTTGCCCAGAGTTGTGGATGCTGCATCCCTGGGAATGTTCAAGGCCAGGGCTTGGAGCAAGCTGGGATAGGTGTCCCTCCAAACCATTCCATGGTTTTATGTGATAATCTTAAACCAGTCACAGAACCCTTTTTTAAGTGCAGACGAACCCTTTGATGTAATTTGAGCTGAGCAGTTTGGAAATGCAGATCCTGCAGGCCAGCAATGACACTGCAGGATCCACCACACCTTGGAGCCCAACTCATGCCCTGCCCATTTCCCTCTCCTGCACTTCAAGTACAGCCCAAAGATGCTGATACAAGGACAAAACCCAACACAGGCTTGGGCACATATCCCAAATGAATAGTGAGGGACTGCAATAAAGCAAAATTCTTGAGCACATCCCAATACAGCAGAATGAACTACCCACAGATCAGCTTCAAAGACCTTCTGGTGTTACAGGAAGGTGCTTTGGCTGTTTTAAGCTTTATTGAATTATATCCAGATATCAGATTTTTAAGCAGTCCCTTTTGAGTGCTTGAGAAAGATGCCCTTTTTTGTTCAGATGGAATATACATGTCTCAGCTGTGGCCCTTCAGCCTCCTGATTCAGAAATGCATGTAAACCACAGGAAGTTGTCTGTTAAGTAACTTTATTCGTAACTGTCAGCTATTCCATTTTCAGAAAGGTTTGAGTCAAACCAGCCTGTGCCTCCTGGAGCCTTGTGATCCTCCCTGAGAGAGCCAAGGCACTTCATCATGAACGTACAAGAAAACACTGAAATCTTACTCCTATCAAGGTGTCTGACATTACCACAATAGCTTCCCCTACAGCTTTACATTTAACTACTTGGTAAATGAAGTATCTCCAGTTTTATAATTCATTCTCTTTCAAAGACAGACTTTTTTCTGGTTACAGCAGAGTTGGTCACTTAGTTGTAGACCAAGACCTGCTGGTGTGGTTATCTGCAGTAAAGGAGAGCACGTATCTTTTATAAGCAAAACACAGCACAAGATCACTGTCTGGTTACTGCCTAAAGTAACCACAAAAATACTTTCTGAGGAGGGAAGAAGAAGAAAACCTACACGAAACACACACCAGATGAACACATCTTTTAAAACCAGGAAGCACCCATTTATTTGGTTTCCATGAAAACAACGTCAGCAATCTAAATATGATTTGTTGAAACCTTAGCATAGCCAAATGGCTTTTTAGCTCTTCAAGGGGATCAGGGACACTGCATTTTTTCCACTAGCAATTGCTTAAAAAAGAAAAAAGAGATCGAGAAAAAGCATCAAATAAAGATTTAGTCATCACAAGGCTTAAAGAAAGAAACAATTTATCAAATCATCTAGGTTTGGCTGCAAGTTCAGTGGAACATACTGAACT